AGGACAGAGCAGAAATGAGACACTTCAATGAGCATCAGCTGACAGCCTCGGCCCTCAGTGGGGGCAGGATGTCCTACCAGGCCCAAGTGATCAGCAGGATCCTTTGACAAGTTTTTCCTTGTCTCCTCTTGGAGACATTTCAGGCTGTCAGAGAAAGGCACTCAACTTCCCCGTGATTTAGTTTATTCATTTGTAAAATAGGGATATAATGTAGTGCCCAAAGTATTGACATAAAAGACAGTAAAATAATGTCCTTCATAAAAGGTACTTTTACTCCGATCCATGTTGGGTAGTCAACATGTCTTACCAGGCTATTTGAGTTCTTTTTCTCCTGGAAATTAAACAAATTAGCAAGGAAGCCTTACATGTCCATCTTATGAGCTTTGTTAGACAGCAAACAACAGCCTTACTAACTTTAATTGACTCTGATAGTTTATTAACTTGCAAGTCCTAGGGAAGACCCTGCTCAATGGTAAATTCACCCAAGGTAAATTCTATATTGATATGGACTCCTGGGGGCTAATCGTTTTTCTGTATCAGCCTGCAAATGCTTCCAACTCTTTTCCTGTCTAGGATATTAAACAGCTATTTACTGAAATCCAGCTAGAAATAGGACATTACCACTAAGAAAAATACATAGAGATTCCTAGATCTCAAAGACTTTATCATCTAAGAGATTCACAAGTACATGTATGAATATTTTTTTAATTTGTATCAGTACTTCTGCATATATTACTTCACAATAATCCTGTGTTACAGTTGAAAAACAGTTGTAGAGATTAAAATGCCTGGCTGAAAGTCTATCATGAATGTTTAATGGTAGAACTAAGACTAGAGTCCAAAGTCCAGGATTCTTTGCACTGTAGCTTCAAACCACAGGAGAGTCTCTAACAATACAGATACCAGGATCTCTCCCACAGATACTCCAGATTCAGCAATTCCAGGCATGGACTCAGGAATCTACATTTTAATAAAACTCCAGGTGATTCTGATACAGAACTTCTGCTTTAATAAGCACTGCATTGGATCATGCTATGTTTCCAGAAAATAACTTGAGAGCAATTTCAAAACAACACACCAACATGTTTAAACTGCAGAAGAATTTTGAACTAATGTCGGGACTCCGGGGGTGAAAATGCAGGCTGGGGAAGGGATGAGATCTTTGTGCAGGCCAGTGCTGGCTAGGCACACAGAGGAGACATTTAGGTTATACAGGGTTCCTTCAATGGCTTGGACAATGTCTGCTGATTACTACTGTTAGCTCATACAAGAAATCCCAGGAACATTTGCCCTGGAATTCTTCTTATCCTTTTTTTTTTTTTTTAATAAAAACTGGACTCAAAATGTCTTAAATTAGGAAAGAATTCAGCATCAAATGTTTCTTTTTTGCCCTTATATGGATTTTTCTGAAAGCTCTGTCTAAAATACCATATTCTTTCTATGTCGTATTTATTGTGAACAAAGGCAACAGGATTCTGCCCTTGGATGGCTTTCAGGGGAAGAGACAGAACAAAACAACAAAACACTTTATGTTTCTTTTCAACGGCACAGATTTTTATCATGTTAGGGTCAGGGTTGAGTTCAAAATGTTGCTCATTTGGGAGTGAAGAATTTCTGTTTCTCAGATGATATGAAAAATCATAGAGTCAACAAAGTAGAGGAAAACGCAGCTACTTTGCAATGATCGTAAATTGAAAAACTGTACAGATTTCATTATATTTGAGTGAACATTTAAGCGTGAATACTTATCTTAAATTCATCGCTAAACCCTGAAGTGGAGGCTTATGACTCTGGCAGGCAGGATTTGTTTGGAAGCCTGGTTTTCAACATAGGCATCTCTGTTTATTGGGAGCCAGTATGGGATTCCCCCTCAGGGACATGGAAAGTGGCAGGAAGTGACCTTTCAATTGGGCCATTGTCTAAGGAAATGTTCCAATCATCGTCCCCCCAGCCTAGTTGGATTCACATAATCGACACATTTGTGCAGGAAGGAGGGAGCCCCAGTCTAGGCCAGTCCCCTCCAAACAGCCCTTCCTCATTGGTTATTCCCGTTTGCCTAGCATTTGTCTAGCTTTGGGAAATCTCTGTGATTCAGCACTTAATGAATGGTTATTCCTGTTTCCCAAATCACTCACTCAACTTGTAGCATGCCTAAGACTCTTACTATTATAAGGCAGGGACATTTGCCATCTATGGCCTGTGCCGTCTCTTAATCGATTCTTTAATTTTAATAAACATGTGCATTTTCTCCTAGGTAGAATATATGTTTCTGGAGGATATACATTGTTCTTATAATTTTGAAATGGTTTTTATTTTTATTTTTTAAATTAATTTTTAAATTTTAATTCCAGGATAGTTAACATACAGTATAATATCAGTTTCAGGTGTACAATATAGTGATTCAGCAATTCTGTATATCATTACTCAGTGCTCGTCATAAGTGTGCTCTTAATCTCCTTCACCTATTTCACCCATCCCCCCACCTCCCCTCTGATATCTTTATTTTAAATGGGTGTCCTCAGTTAAAGTTATGTTTTTTTCAACAAAATATTTTTTACTTGAAGCATACTTCAGAATACATGGTTCTAAAAGATACACATAAAGCCTTCCATCCAAGAAAGGTAGGATACACACTTTCTTTAAGTACACACAGAAGAATCCCCTGGTTAAATCACATAAAAAGAGACATAACAAATATTACAAATTTAAGAAGACTGAAATCATACCAAGTATATTTCTTTTTTATTTATTTTTTTTTTTATTTAAAGATTTTTTTTTTTTTTTTATTCATGAGAGACAGAGCGAGAGAGAAAGGCAGAGGGAGAAGCAGGCTCCCAAGGAGCAGGGAGCCCGATGCGGGGCTCGATCCCAGGACCCTGGGATCATGACCTGAGCCGAAGGCAGTCGCTTAACCGACTGAGCCACCCAGGCGCCCATACCAAGTATATTTCTAACCATAATGATATAAAACTAAGGTCAACAATAAAAGAGTTGGAAGATCTGCAATGTAAATATTAAATATTTAATGTAAATATTAAACAACACTCTACTGCACAAGCAGTGGGCCAAATAAGAAAGCAAACGGCAAATTAAAATATGTCTCTATGGCCATACCACCCTGAACGTGCCCAATCTCATCTGAAATGGTTTTTAATTCAGAGCTTCATACACAGTGGTCCCTCAACAAATTAACAAGTAAATACATTTGCAGTGTTAGTGATTATAATCAATGTCTTCCTTTTCCCTCTGCCTTATTATCCAGGAGGCCTTTTAAGAGACTTGTCCTTGAAATGAGATCTGGTGTCAGCCTTGTGTCTTTCCTTCGGGCATAAGTGCCATGATATACCTTATACATGTAGTCATCTGTCACAAGATGGAGAGACAGCCATCCTATAATCTGTCACCAAAGGGCCAGAGCTGCTGGTCAAAATTATGAAGACGGCAAGATTTATTTTGAGTATCTTCTAACACTTCTGCCCAAGGTTGTTGACTCCCTCTAGGTGGCCACTGCTTTACCAGGATAAAACCTTACTGTGTTTACCAAAATACTCACCAATTAGGAATGCACCTCATCCAAAATTTTCCTTACCTGTCCTTTGTCAAAATTTACCTGTACTATATTTCAAATGCCCTCTTATCTTGCTGTCTGCTAGGTGACAGTGCTCAGGAATGGATGAATGAAATAAATGAATCTTTGTTAATGTAAGAACTAGCCAATACGCTATCCTTCTCAAGAATCAAAATGCCTTAACTCTACTCCACATCATATGTCAAAAAGAAAATGAAAACAACAATGGGATAACACACACACCTACTAGAATGGCCAAAATCCAGAACATTGACAACACCAAATGCTGGTGAGGATGTGGAGCAATAGGAACTCTCATTCATTGTTGGTGGGAAAGTGAAATGGTATAGTCACTTAGGAAGACAAGTTGTCAGTTTCTTCAAAACTAAACATACTCTCACCATATGATCCAGCAGTTGTGCTGCTTGGTAATTACCCAAAAGAGTTAAAAACTTACATCCATACAAAAACCTGCCCATGGAGGCTGGAAGCAACCAAGGTGTCCTTGAGGAGGTAAATAAACTGTGGTTCATCCAGACAATAAAATATTATTCAGCTCTAAAAAGAAATGAGCTGCCAATATCATTCCAATGGAGGAAAATCAAATGCATATTACTAATGAAAGAAGGCATTCTGAAAAGCTATATATTATATGACTCAAGTTCTGTGACATTCTGGAAAAGGTAAAACTATGGAGACAGTAAAAAAGATCAGTGGTTGCCAGGGTCTGGTGGGAGGGAATAGGGAGAGCACAGAAGAGTTTTAGGGCATTGAGACTACTCTGTATGATACTATAATGGTGGATATAAGTCATTATACATTTGTCCAAACCCATAGAATGTAGAGCTCCAAGAGTGAATCCTAACGTAAGTTTTGGACTTTGGGTGATTATAATGTGTCAGTGTAGGTTCATCAGTTGTATTAAATGTGCCACTCTGGTGGGGGGTTTGATAATGGGGGAGGCTGTGCAAGTGTGGGGATAAGGGGTGTACAGGAAATCTTTGTACCCTCTGTTCCACATTGCTGAGAACCCACAACTGCTCTAAAAAATGAAATCTATTAAAAAATGCTCTCAGTTTAAAGGCTCTTTAGAAGTCATGCTAAGTATATCAGTCTGTTCTTAAAATCTCTTAAATGCATTCCTTCTTTTCTGTTTGCATGGTTGCTGTCCTGATTTTGGCAAAAGCTTCCAAATTGTTTGTTTGTTTGCTTTTTTTTTTTTTTTTGACTTCTCTCTCAGCAGCCCATCCTATAACCTGTTGCCAAATTAATCTTCTAAAACATCTCTTTTATCATGTCACTCTTTGGCTGAAATTGCCCTCCTTGACCTCCAATGTTTACATTGCCTGGATGGCAGACATAAACATGTAAGCCACCTTTTTTCCTTCTTCATGGAAGACATTAATAATCAATCATGCTTTGTTTCTCTAAGAGCCACTGGCCTCGGAATTCTCAACACAGAGTTCTAATGAACCACTGTCAATTGCTAAGAGATAGTTTTGACGAAACTTCTTTGTCACACTTGGACTACAACAAGAAATCCAGAGTGAAAAGCCCACACCCAGTGAAATCAATGTGAGCTGATTCCACTCTATCTTCCAGTGGATGAAGGTTTGAAATATTTCTGCTCTGCTTTAACAAAATTCAGAACCTAACTGCTAAACATGCTCTATTCTGTCCAGACTCTGGGCCACTGTTTCTGAGCTTATGTAACATGACCAAGGAAATGCAGCTAATATGTAGCAGCACTAAGATTTCTACCTGGCTGTGTGCTGTCTAACCATGGGACCTCTGTACTTTATCACCACAAGTACAGCCTTCTGCCTGGAGATGCTCTCCTTCTTCCAAGACTGATTTGATGACTGCTTTTAGAATTTCAGTGAGTAACATAAAATATTGAAGGAAAGTGATAAATGTCAGGATGCTTCAAAGGAAGAAATGTGATTGGTTTGTCATAAGTTATCAGATGATGCTCAGAGATTGGATTGGTATTTTATCAGTAGAAATATGAAGTAATCACAACTGACTGTAGGGGTATAGTAGAGAAGGGAAGAGAGAATCTTGGAGGATACAGTATGGTAGTTCTGAGGAAAATAAGGGGTAAGAGCTCAAAACCTAGAATAGTCTATCACAGAGGAAAAAAGGAAAAAGGAAAGATGGGTAGGCTGTTTTAAGTGAGAACATGCTAAAGAGAGGGCATAATGAGAAAATGGGTGATGTGAAATGACCTTCTCAGCTTAACTAAAAATAATATAGTTCATCCCACACATCTCCAACACTAATAAAACTGCTGTTCCCTAAACTGTGTTTGCTGAATGGCAGTGGCTAAGAACCCAGAGCGAGGTGGGGAAAGACTGGAAGCCATGAACATTCCCTTTGGTGGGAGAGATCCTTTCAGTTTTAATCCTTAGACATTTGAACTTAAATTTTTAGGCATTTACATTTATGAGAGAAACTTGAGATGAACCAGCAGTTGTCAAATGAATGAGGGCTGGCTTGAACCTCCTAGTTTCATCTTATACCACAAACCCTCAGAAGTCTTCCCATATAGGCTTGGTCCTTGAAACAGATCTTACTGGGGAGGAAAAGGTGAGGACATGCTTCTGCTTCTTCGTGCCCCATAGTTTTAATTAGCCTCAAGTGAATTTCCTTAGAAGTCAATGGAGGCTCCATGTCCCAGTAGGGACAAGGGAAGTGTGTGAAACAAGATGAGAGGTGGGACCATTATTCCCAGAACTCTTCTGACTTCTTTTTAGACCCTGGTCAAGGATAGAGCTGTTTGTTGCAATAAAATATCCAGTAGCAGGAAGTTGAAAAGGAGGTTATACTAAAAAAAGACCCCCCCCCAAACAAAACAAAACAGAACAAAAACCCATACTAATTTTAGCTCCATTCAAAATCTAGGGGGAAAAAAATCAATGTTTACAAAATTAAGATTAATGGGCTGCCAAAATTCAACTCATTAGTTAGCAACAATGTAGTGATGAAGTTTGTGCTGGTTGGATTTAAAGAAAATTAAAACTGTATCATTGGGAATGCCTGTTCCCTTGCATTTGGCTTAATGATTATGGACTTTTCTACTGAAAGTTCTGGTAGCCAAGGAGTGAGTCTAAAAATTCCTTCCTAAGAGTTTACTCACTCCACTTGACATGGAGGGGGTCTTGTCAGGATATGTTGAGTGCTGACGATCATGGTTATTACAGCTTAAAAGCTTTTGCAGATATTGATCTAGACATTAGAATGACCCTCCTTGCGTAGATAAAATACTCCCAGAGACTTGAAGGAAGTATACCAGGAAAAGGTAAACACTGAGACTTCTTTTCTTTTTGACAAAGAGGGAACTCTTTTCCTCCTTCCAGGAAATGATGTGTTGAGCTGACAGCTCTGGAAGCCCATAGGGTGGGTGGACTGGTTGGGTGTGCCTGTGTATAAAGGTCTTGCCTTATACAATATCTCTGTGCTGGACGTGGGCATATGGCAGGCTGGCTGCGGGGGGGGGGGTGCTGATAATTGGAGAACATAATGAGAGGACTGAGCCTGTTTATAATGCTAAGCTGAGATAACACAGGCAGAAATTCCTAGCTCAATATCTGGCACAAAATAAGGAGTAAAAATGTCCATTCGGTGTTTCTATTGTTGTAGTCACGTTTATTTATTTTTGTTCAACTTTTAGAGTTGCTTTTTTGCTTCATCAGGGAATCTGAATTTAACCTTCTGACTGGTGATCAATGCATCAGAAAAAATGATATTTTATTTCATGTAGGTCTTATAACTAGCATTGGCATGCAAGAGCTCTCTGATTTCAGAAAAGAGTGGTAAACGTTTGTCTTTGAAAATTCTCTTAGAGTTCTATGAAATGTAAATCTGGGTTTCCTTGAGTCTGATTCCTCTGTCTCTGATATTTGGACAGAAGTTAGCAGTTATAGCAGTTGGTCTTCAAAGGAGCAAATGGGAGAGTACATTTTGTCATAGAATCTTTATAGATGGAAGGGGCCTTTAGAATCCTCTGGCTTAATCATGTTCACGTGAAGAAACTGTTTTCTCCAAAGTCACAAAACTAGTTAATAGCAGAGAAGGGATTAGAAGCCAGCTCCTTTGATTTCTGGGCCAATATTCCTTTTCCTTAATAGAAGATTAGAGATTTTTTATTTCTTGTCTAAGTCTTCTGAACAGCCTTTTGAGGCTATGTAAACTGTGAGCTGGATAAAACCTAAGTTTTCCTGAAGGGACACCTGTCCTTACAAGGTGGTGGGAGAGAGGTCAGTAGGATTGTGTTTTTATTGCAGTCTTTCCGGGCCCACTTGCCCACTGTCACAGGCTAGCCCAGAAGGATGGACAGGATTAATGGATCTATAGTTAGTCCCTCCCTGGGCCGTCATAAAACCGCAGGTGCAGTTTTCCTTTTACTGCAGACTACCAAGAGACTGCTTCAAGTGAAAACACATTCTCTTGAGTAGTTAGGGAAGATGGAGAGGGCAGCTTAAGATTCCAGGGAGCAGAATGAGAGTTCTCTGAGTGGAGTCTGGCAAGACTGCTGTCTTTGCCCATCCTCAGTCTGCCCACGCTTCTGAGAATGCTAAATGCAGGATGCAAAAGAAAGACTATTCCCTGCACTTATCCCCCAGTGTATGTTCACACACGTTAGGGAGGAGAGAGTGATGCTGGTCTCATGAAGTTTCTATATCTTAAATAGAGATTGGAGGGTTTAGCTGGGAGAGAATGAAGAACACATTAATGGAATAGGGGAAGAGAATAAATAAGAACTAGAGCTAAAAATAATTTCAGGTTTTTAATCATGATAAAGCTGATTAATTTAAAAGAAGTTAAAAGTGCAGATAAGATCCTGGGTAGCTACATTATCACAGAATCTTTGAGACCACAGTTTCCAGTCACTAGATGTTACCAGAAGAGTTAATTAGCCCAAACTCTGGCTGCTAGTTCTTTAGCTGTCTTCAACTTGAAGTTTTTTTTTTTTTTTTTTTAAATAAGTTTTAAAGCTAATTAGGATACACCTGGGATTCATGGCTAAAGCCAGTAGAGTTTCCCCTGGGGGTTACTTTTTATATACAAAATTTTAAAAAAGGAAAAATGTCAGATGAAAAACATAATCTTTAGATTCACACACAAAAAATGGCATAACCATTTCAACTCAGCAGACCACAAGGCCAAACAAGCTTTGGCTAGAATTGAATGCTGTGTGCTTCTGTTCAGAGAAGAGGATGCTTCCCAGATGTGTCTGGGGTCTACCTGCCTCACTCTTATTTATCATTAGCTCTAACACAGGATGTGGTGCCGCTGGCTGGTAATCTGGAAATGGCCTGTTTATTTTTACAGATCTGTAGAAGAGACTCAATAGCTGTAAAGGATGGAAGGGTGCAAAGCAGCTTGGAACTCACAACAAAAGGAAACCAGGACAAAAAATTTAGATAAAACAACTTGTGACCATGGGATCTGCTCCTTGTGTCTACTGAACAGAGGTGCCAAATGGATTTCTAGTTTCAAAGAAAAGCCAGTTCTTCCTCCCCACCTTGCAGCACATGATTGTTGAACATCCAGACACTTTTTTTTTTTTTTTTTTTTTTTTTAAGTTCAGGGAACCTTAATATTCTTCCCAATGTTAGGATTGGTTCCTTTATGAGTTTCATAAAGAAGAGAAACTTCCCCCAGAGCTGCATAGGCTGGTGGTTCTCTGTATTTACCTGGGCTTTCTGGATAACGTCCCTTATATTAAAGCCCCATAACAGGCTGGAGAAAGAGGTTTCTGCAAATGCTCAGTGGGGACAGTGTTACTGCTCAGTTCCTGCTTCTGTTGAAAAGTTACCGTGCAGGTGACAATCTTCTGTTCTCTCTCCTGAGAAGAGATATGCCTGAGGTGAGTCTAGGCCCTCCATGGGACTTCCTTTCTGCTCTCTCTCAGATGCAGAAGCTGATTTCCAGTTGACTACTCTTGAACACTAAAACTTGCAAACTGTCAATTAGTACTTTCATCTAACAGAGTCAGCGGCTGAGGAAATTTGGGAGAAATGCTTTATGTTTGTCCTATATTCAGGAAATGAACAAACAAATAAGCTCCAATGCCCACCACCTAGAGAAACATAAAATGAAGAATACCGATGGGCATAGAGAACTAAGAATTGGGGCTTGTGAGTGAAAGAATAAGAACTTGGGTCTCTTCTAGTTTCATGATCTTTCCATACCCCACAAGGTACCACGTGGCCTCCCGTGTTGCTATGCGGGAGTCAGGAAGGAAAACCCTAGGCAATGTGGGACGGTGGTGTCCTGTTGAAAGCTTTGCCTTGTGTAAGCACATGTGGCTCATATATAGTTGACTTTCTCCAAGGGAGAGTTTGGGGAAGCCAGGGTGTATTTATCAGCTCTGTCTTTTCCTCCCTTGCCTTCCTGTCCCCAGAACCAGGGTATGTGGTTGCTCCCTGGCACAGGAAATGCTTGGATATGGGGGACCACCCAGGCTGCACGCCCGTGACCACTGCAGAAGTCAGCACAGCAGCGGCAGGGAGAATGGGCTGGCTTTGAAGTTCAGGGATGGGAGGACCAGGGCTATTTCTGGGTTGGCCTGAGGTAGCTCACACTTTGTGTAACCCTGACCCCCGGTATCTGCAAACAGGGAGACACCATACTACATTGATTGCATCAAAAGAAATTAAAAAACTGCAAGTCAAAAAATAATCTTTCATGTGGGTGTGTAGCAGTTCTGCTGTTGGTGGAGGTGATGATGGTGGCAGAGGGTAGGGAGTTAGTCATCGATCGCGTGTTTGTGAACATTAGACCTCTGTACCATCTGAAGGTGAGCAATGTATGTCCCAATCTGACACCTCAGAAATGCTGGCCAGTCTTCACATGATGCAGCAATGTGAAGCTTTCTACATTTCCAAAAGTGAGTCAGGACATCTGCCTCAAAGTGTAGCTAAAGGACATCGTGTGGACCTGCGGCAATTTTAATGTAATTGACAGAATCAAGTTCCGACCATTTGCTAACCTCGTGACCTTGGGAAAATCCTAACTTCCCTGCCTCAATTCCCTATCTGTAAAATGGAGCTAATGCTACCTACGTCAGCAGGTTCTTGTGAGGATTAAATGACATATTGCGTGTAAAGCCCTAAACATGATGACTAGCTTGTACAACTAATCAAGAAATGCTGATTCTTATTACTAGTTAGGCAGGTGGCTTTAGTATTATATGAAGCTTTTTGTGAGAGTGACTCTTAATATGTGGAAGTCATTGGAAGTCCAGCCAAGCTTGAGACCGACCAAAGGGATATGGTTTGGCTCCATTATCTAAGCTTTGAGCCAAGCCGTCAAAAAGGATTGAACACATATTAGAAGAAAAAATATATTAAGTGATGAGTGGGTGTGACTGAGACCATAAAGAATCAATGCCACAATATTATTATTGGTTTGGCTCTTCGTCATCTATAAACATTGAGCCGGTTTGAGTGGTTTGGTTTCAGACTCATTGACAGATTTTCATTTTACTTTTAAAATCTTGAGCATATTAGGGAAAGGATTTATACATTTTTATGCTCTATTTTAAAATGTCACTATGCATGGCTCATGCATACATCTCTATCTTTGTCTTGTACTTTGTAAAGCATCTCCAGGTTTTTGATTTAATAAGCATTGTGCTTTTCAGCTCAGATTCAGTTTGAGATTGAATTAGATGACAAATAATGAAGTGGTTTGATTTATCACATTGTTTCAGGAACTTAGAGAGTGGAAGATTTGCCCCCATTCTTCTTTCTGTTTCCAGGATCTGTGCTCCCTGAGGTTAGTGGTGACCATGAGCAAAGATGTCTTCTGTCCTCATTTGGGTTAAGACACATGATATTCCCATGAAGGAAATCCCAAGACATTCCTTTGGGAAGAAGCATTGTGTTTGTGTTACTTAGAACTTGAACCTATTTTAGGGCTGTGCCTGTCTTCTTTGGGCCAATAAGTCAGAAGCCAGTTAGGAAAAAGAGAAGTAACAATGATCTAGACCTTGTAGGAAACTGAGGCAGTACCTCTGATCAATAATGCAGTCGAACAGGGTGGAGAGGGAAAAGAAAAGGAAGGCCTAGTAGCACATTGAGAAATTTTGGAAAAAAAGATATATGAATATTTCCCTAGAATATTTACTTTTCTTTTTAATGCCTTTAGTCAATTTTCTCCAGTTTTTACTCCTTATCCTTTGCTATCCAGAGGGTTTATACTTTACGTCTGTGAATTGATTTTTGTGAGGGCAGCATCTATTTATATTTGTGTTTGTTTAGTGCCAAAGTTCAATACCTGGTATTTACTGAACTTTGTAATAACTTACTGGGTATGAGAACTTTTTGACTAATTACAAATAAGTACTCTCTGAGTTATTGTGGGAGTTTGTTCATACCCTGCCCCTCAGTCCTTGAATTCTGAACAGATGAAAACAACTTAGGTGTTCACAATTCTTTGTTTCCTCAACTCATTATTCTCAACATGCTTTAAAATCATTCTTTACAAGCATAAAGCTTATCTAGCCATCTTTTTCCTTTCGTAAGATTTACAGTTTTCTTCTAATCTTTTTTAAATTTTATTTTTAGAGGTGATTTAACATATAAGATAACTTGTAAGTATCAGGCCAACTCATTTGTCTTGTTTCAGTTCAGAAAAATGCTAGCACCAAGTTCTCTTGCTGCCAAAGCATAGATTTCATGCTGTTCATAGTCGTTCCTACCAAGGGGACAATATGCACTCAATTGCCAACACTCCATTGGGACTCTGACAAAGGAATTTTATTATGCCCACTTTCAGTTGGATGCAGTGAAACCCTTGCCAGGGGCACAGCAGTGGCTACTGCTCGTGCCCCAGAATTGCTGTGTGGTCAGGTCAGGGCTTTTTTCTTCATACTCTCTGGGTCAGACTTTCTTGTGGGTTTGTGTGTGGGAGGCAAGGCAGACACTATGTGTCAAGGACAGGCCCTCTGCCTCTTGTGTAGGGAAATTACTACCACATGAAGGTAGGGCAGGAAGCCAGGGGCTGTCCCAAAGCCTTCGCCTTTGGATAATTTGCCTCCTCTCCTGTGAACAAGAGCACTTATGCTGGGGCTAGAGAATTGTGTTCCTGGAACATGAGCTCCCTACTGCCAGCCTCTCACAAGTTGAAAGCCAAGCATCTTTGGATGCCACATTGTCATGTATTATTACCAGACTGCCTAAAGGACTTCAACCATCGAAAAGGTCACCTAAATTAGCTGTGTGTTTAAGGTGACCAATCTAAGTTAGGAGTAACTGTTTCCATCAAATCTAATCATCCCTTCTTGGGGACACAGAATCATCTTAGGAGGAACTGTAGCTAATACTACAAATTCAGTGTGAATTGAAAAGAACTCAGAAGTGGCTGTGAGTGTCCTTCAAAGGATGGTAAAAGTATAAATTCATGTCAAAAATACCCCATGCATGTTGTGAAGACTGACCACATCAGAGATCTTTGATTCCACTTTCAAACTCACCAACTATTTATTTATGAAAATAATCACCCCATTGGTTGAAAATCACAACTTTTAGTTTGGGAATTTAAGAGTCATCTGATGAGAGTGAAAAGAATCTCTTTAGAAAAGAAATCAGGGAAGGTGTCTGGGTGGCTCAGTTGGTTAAGCATCTGAGTCTTGATTTTGGCTCAGGTTATGATCTCAGGGTTGTGGGATTGAGCGCATCAGACTCTGGCTCCGGGGGGGGGGAGTCTGCTTGAGATTCTCTTCCTCTCCCTTTGCCCCTCCCCCCACTAGTGTGCGCTCTTTTTCTCTCTCTCAAATAAATAAATCTTAAAAAAAAAAAGAAAAGAAATCAGGCAGTTTTCATTGTCTTTGTGACCAATGCTTCCATCCTTAGGTGATTTGATTTTAAAAAGATAAAGGAGCAACAATAATCAGAAAGACTGCATTACTAGAAGCATCTTGAAATTAAGAGGGAGCTATGTAGGGGATTTCTGCTGCTACTAGAAAATAATTTCCTCTGCCTTTGCATTATTCATCTCATGTAAATTTTGATAAAGTTCATCACTGTGATTATTATTTCATTTACCACATTTTATATGTTTATAGCACAATTTCCACAGTAGGATCTTTTTTCTTTCCAGATTAACATAAATGTGTGTATTCTGGATGGCAAAAGGAACCTTTTTAGAAGCAGGTATTTGACACACATCACCCTATCTCACTGCATTCAGAACTTACTGCAATATGACCATCTCTACCATGAGTTCTAGACGTGGGCTTTTTAGGCCATAATATTTATGCACCATGTACGTATGCACCTACAACAGTTACACATACTGCAAACACCAGCTAGTATACAGTTGATTTAATATGCTCACAACTACCCTGTGAGATGGGAATATGAATCCTAAATTTTGTGACTGAGATTCTTGGGTTCATTGACTTCCTCAAATTTACACAATTGCTAGAATGGAAGGGCCAGGATTCCAAACCAGGGTTTTCTGATGGGAGAATCCGTGTTCTTTTTACAATCACATTCAATGCAGGGAATTCAGCCTCCTTGAAAGAAATCCTGGACTTAGAAGCGACCAAAATGAGGATAAGCCTAGTTAGGAGGACTTTGTGTGACAGTATCCTGAAACTCCTCTGTGAGCCCCCTTGGAACTCTCCTGACTGGATTGATTTTATAGATTCATTCAACTTCAGCATTGGGAAGAGGCTTAAAGGTCATCCAGCCCAACTCCCAGGAGGCTTGTACTGGATGCTGTCTAGGTTCTCTTGAGGCAGGCAGTCCATTCTTTCTCAGGACAGCACAAACTCATAGGGAGTTCTTTATATTCAGCCAGAAGAAGCTACAGAATAAGCCTAATCCATCTTCTGCATAACAGTCCTTCAGATATTTGAAGGGAATTCCAAATTCCCTCTATTTTTTTTCTAAGCAGTCCCAGTGCTTCCAACTGCACTGTGTAGAATATGGTTGTATTTCTTTTTTGACCCTATATTCTCTTCCCTGAGTACTGTGCAGTCTTTTAAGGTAGCATTAAGAACTAAGCACAATGCATCAGGACTGATTTAACCAGTGCAGACTGGATTAGGACTGTCATCTAGGAATTTTACATTTGCCAGCCACACAAAGTGTTGCGATTTAATTCTAACTGAGCATCCTTCACAATATCCCCTCATCCCAAGAGATGTGGGTCTCAGTCTCTGTCCAAACTCAAGAATTCTGAAATCTTGCCATAGATTTAGGAAAGAACCCTTAGAAAAGTGAGTCAAAGTGCACATATTTGTTTCCAGGAAAACAGGCAAGGAGATGGAGAGGCAATTTTTAGCATAGTAGGTATTTGTCATGTACTCTGACTCTCTAAACTTATGCCTGAGTCTTAATGGGGATAAGGTGTGGAGTAACAGGTCAGAAGTAAATGAACAGAAATTGTATTTTCTCTAATGTCTAAGAGATACTAAGAGAAGGCAGTGCTTCTTCTAACTGGCTGTGATTCCAATGTAAGGGTCAGTGATTTTGCTCATCTGTTAGTTCTTACAGTACCCTGAGACATAATTCACCATGGCCAGAATGGATTTGCTGTACATAGGAGTCATCCTTCTAACCTGCCATGTCCATAGGTATGTGAGGATCTAGGATGAAACTGAGAGAATTATATCCTGCTGATTCATACTCAGAAGGTGGGGAATATATTATTTGTGTCTTTTAGTGTGCATGTGTGGTTATTATAGGCACACAATGAATCTTCTGTTTCTTTTGTGAATATGTAAGATGATATAGAATGATTTTCAAAAGTATAAATTGAATACACAAATAGTATATTATGTTCCATTTCAATTGGTAGAATAGGTATAAAATTTGTATGAAAATATAATCAGATATTTGTTGCTTTCAGTTTAGATACTCCTAATAGACAGCTATAGGATATTCAGCACTCTCTGAATCAGATTTGAATTAGTAGACCTAGTTTGTAAAACCCCCTCTTCCATGTTCATCAAGCATATCGTTGTATTTAAATTTCTACTACATTTAAAGGTAAAACAAATCATATTTTCATTTTAAAGGATTGTTTAAATCTTTATGATACCATGCATATTTCAATAATTTAAGAATAAATGGAAGAAAAAGTCTTAAAAGTAAAGTGCTTTAAGACATCTGAATTTGAGATGTAAACATTTTGTCACCTACTTATATGTGTGTGTGTGTGTGTAAACTTGATCTCTTCAAAGCTGTGTTAGAGATGAGATAGGAAAGGAAGGCATACAAGCATCTGTTTTGCATTGACAAATTTCAACAGGCATTTTATGTGAAGGTGAAATAATTTGGCCCATTAAAAAAAACTGATATGTTTCTATCCTGAAAAAAGCCTGCAATATTTCCATATCTGGACTTGCCAAAAACGCCCATATTTACCACCTTCTCAACATAAATCAAACCATATATTCTGTGCACAAGCACCCATGAACAGAAAGATTCTGAAAGAGAAAATTCTTGGAAGACACAGAACAAAGAAAGAGAAGAGGAGTCCTTTAACCGTAGAGCTGTAATTTATTAAGTGTCTTTAGAATTCATGTAAGGGACCTCTCTCTTTTTATTCTTCTCTTGTAGGTCTCTAAGTCCACTGATGACAGGAAAATCTTCAGTGGTTCCAGAGACAAGCTGCTGGAAATCCTGCACATTTATCTTCTAGAAGGAAGTGAGCTGATTAGGATAGTGGTCCCTTCAGAAAGAACCTCCCCCGCAAAACTTTAAAGGACTCCAAATTAAGCCATGTCCATTTCTGGGACCCTAAAGTGGCTCATGAAAGTCAAGGACTACTTGCTTAATACTAGGTGATTTCAAAAGCCTTAAGATTCTAAGGGGAGAGTGAGGATGGGGAAGGTGATGGTGAATAAATTGGAGAACCTACCAAATAACAGGGTGTCTCTTTATTCCAAGCATCATTTTCTATCTCACATTGTGTCTTTCAATTAAAAAAAGGAAAACATGTCTTCTTTAAAAACATATTTTTTCTCTATTAATATTCAGTACTTAATATATGAGTACAGATCCATCATTCATTAGATCTAGGTAGATCACAAGCTAATTTACAAATTCAAAAGCGTAAGTCAGATCAACTCCATTGCTCAAGGCCATGTATTTGCAAGCTAAGAGTATGCACTGAACATTTCGAGTCCTTGGACTGGTGTACTGGGCAATGCTGCTTTTCTGTAAGAATTTGTTCATATGTTGGATTTAACACAGTTTTGCTTATCAGTTGAAAACCCTTAACCCATACCCACTCATGTAATATAAAGTATAAAATTAAGTCAATGATCTAGAAAATTCAGGGCCAAGTAGTTTAAATCATCTGGATCTTCCCAAAGATTTTGATTTCTTTTAAACCTGAAAAAATAGGTAATTACTCAATAGCCTTAGCTCTAAAATATATCTGACGGGTTATTTTTATTTGTTTGGTTTTCGGAAATCATATCCATGCTTTCTACCCTCTGTAGTTTTTAGCAAAATGAATCAAAGCCACTCTGTACCCAAAGATAACACTAGTGTTGTCTTTTTTTTTTCTTTTTAAACATTGCAGGGCTTTACCTCAAGTGCTATGCAGTAAATTTACAGGGAAAGAAAAATTTTATTAAATTATAACTGAGAGGAGCTGATTTTTTTATATAGCAAACAAAAAATTCCTTCATTAAAGGCTATAAAACCCATATTATTTACCAGAGAGACCTTTCCTGTCTCCCAGGTAAACACTTACAGTGTGTAGACTTGTGCAAATACATATTTAGGAGTGGCTAAATATGGTGAAGTATTTTTAAAGGCGTATTTACAAAGCTGAATACATATATTGGCATTTTGGTATGTGTAAGTTGTGTTTGTTGCTCTGCTGTCTATGCGAAATTCTAGCAGGACTCTGGTAGATACACCTTGGATATAGGGACTGAATTTCAAAACATTCATCTTTAATCAAAATTACTAAGGACAGGTCCTTAAATCATTTCAAAAGGGTGAAATTTTTCAACTAATGGAGTTCAGGTCTTTCTTGCCAGTTTGACTTGAGGAAAACTGTTTCAGAAATGCAGGCATCGCTCGCAGAAGCAAATCTCCCCTTCTGAACATCTTTGTGCATAAAATAAGTATCATTTCACATTCAGCTCGGAATATTACCAAATACTTAAAGATAGAATCCAGATGATGGATGGGTCAACCATGAAATTTTAGTTAAGGGGAAAAATGTCATTAAGATACATTAAAAATACTTTAAACCCATTATTTTTAAAATACTTTAAAAACATGAAAATGTAAGTGATAAAATCTGCTTGTTGCTGACTCAATAGCAGGAAGTTTCCTATGATAATGTAGTAAAATTCCATCTCAAGGATTCCCGATGTCCATGTTCATTCTTTGCTTCTTGGGAAACATGTTGTCTCTGAGGAAAAGAATGTGATGGCAACAGAGGTTGTAGACACATGAAAGAGCACTACCTCTGCTTCTGCTGTCTGCAGCAACTCAGAATGAGTGAAGATCCCATTTGTGTAAAAAGCTTTTTTTAAGATAGACAGGTTGAGAGTCTAAATAACGCTAGGCTTGGGCTATCTCAGGATCCTTTGGTTAAGGAGCCTAAACAATGCTTCTATTTCATTTCTAATGCAGCACACAGCTATTTCTAAATGCTCTCAATATCCTGCAATGGAATAATTGAAAATCTTATTATGGTAAACCATATGGGGACAAAGATTATTCAATCAGTGAAATGATTTCTTCAATAAAACTTGCACTGGGCTGAGTTTTTTAACTTTACAAAAATACACATCATATGTACATATTTTTCCCAAGGTTCCAACACCACAGATTTTGGTTAAACCTTCTGGGTTCTAAAATTTTAAATTTAGGAAGAAAGAAAGGAAAGAAAGAAAGAAAGAAAGAAAGAAAGAAAAAGAAAATTTATTTTAAAATATTATGACAGTGCTATAAGGCTTCTGGAATGTAGAAGCTTCTAATATATGTGCTGACACAATTTTAGCTTTAACTGTGAATGGGTGCACTATACATATTACTCATATGCCAGTATTTTAGATTTGGAAAACAAACTTTTCTGGCAAAAGACAATCTTTGTTTCAGAATTTAAAAAAATACACGAGCAGGCACCAACACCTTTGCATTATAATTTTTATTAGTTTTATCCCATCCTTAATGTTATTCTGTGGCTAAGTATCTCATTTCCATGTAAACTTCCATTAGGAACACAAATTGCTGACACCACATCTACTGACAGAAATGCCACAACATAAATTACGCCAAGAAAATGCTGCTTTGGGTGGGGGGCATGGCAGGGGGAACTAAGCTAGATAAAAAGCCACTGTGCTCCTTGCCCAGCCTGCAGCCCTGTCCCGCTGACCACTGATAAAATTTATCACAGGGCCACATATGGGAAGGCAGCTTAAAGAAGAGATGTCTGTGGTAAAACATGTAACAGCAAAACAGCTAATGGAGCATTATTACTTTATTGGAAAGCAATATCTCTGGATGCTTCACTTCTCTAGCTTTAGCAAGTGTATGAATTGTTCTTCTATATGCAGAAGAGCTGATATGAAAAAAAAAAAAAGGTTATTAGAACACTGAATGATGGCATGAGGCCTTTCCAGGGCTCACTAGTTCACCACTCTGCCCAGTATACTTAACCAGCAAAGGGGTAATGGAGTTCCAACAAGGTTAAAAACCAATCTGAATCTTCATTCCTTTTTTTTTTTTTTAAGATTTTATTTATTTATTTGAGAGAGAGAGAGAGCACATGCAGGGGGAGGGGCAGAGGGAGAAGCAGACTCCCTGCTCAGCGGGGAGCCGGATATGGGGCTCAATCCTGGAGTCTGGGATCATGACCTGAGCCAAGGCAGATGCTTAACCAACTGAGCCACCCAGGCGCCCCTGAATCTTCATTCTTAAAGGAATGCTGATCTATAATGCCAATGGTCTCTTTGTAAAGAAGCAGTCTTGCAAATTCCTGGCTAATGGTCATTGTCATAATTCAGTCCTGGTGTTAGTAGGACGTAGAAATATCCAAATTCTAGTAAAAAAAGTCTCATTTACCAAGATACTTAAAAACTCTGTCATTGGATGGGCTTATTCTTTTGGGGTTTAAAAGAATAACATTGGCATGCAGTGCACAGTCACAATTGGATGGCTAGAATGGTTACAGAGCAAAATGAGTAGGTGGTGTGGTGCTTTAAATGCCAGTGAAGTCGGCATTTCAAAGACGTGAAGGAGACCGATTGTATCATTTGCTGCTGGAAGGAGGGAGAGGGACATCACCAAGATGGCGGATCGATGGTCTCTGACTTCGCGCCTCCGCACAAGAAGAACAGGTAACAACTATTTATGAACAAGGCACCACTGAAAGAATCCTAGAAGCTGGGGATGAGGCTGAAGCACCCCCTGCACCACAGAGACCCAGATGCACTGCGTTAGAAAGGTAAGAGAAGCGGCTACCCAGTGGTGGCAGTGCTCCGCATGCAGGTGGGTGCGGCACATGCTGAGAGGTCTCACCGGCGCCTCCAGTAGGAAAACGATTAGCATAGCATTTTGTTCGTATCATACTTGTTACCCATAAGCAATCTCTTAAAACATACGAAATTGGACATGCAAGGAGCCACTGTATTTTGTCCCTTCTACACAACATGCATCTCCACCTCTGAGCTTTGACCATTCCTACATGTTCTTTGAAGAAGTGAGGGATTTTGGATAGACTGCCTTCAATTAATGTAATAGAAGCTGCATTGCTACCTAAAACATACGAAATTGGACATGCAAGGAGCCACTGTATTTTGCCCCTTCTACACAACATGCATCTCCACCTCTGAGCTTTGACCATTCCTACGTGTTCTTTGAAGAAGTGAGGGATTTTGGATAGACTGCCTTCAATTAATGTAATAGAAGCTGCATTGCTACCTAATGGCGCCATGCTATGCTAAATCTGGTAATAACAGCAAAGCACATTGGTAAGAGCAAAGTTTCCATCTTTTACTGTCAACCTCAAGCATGGATCCTCACATCAGTCTTTTTTCCTTCTTGTCAACTGTTAATGCCGCGTTTATATAACCCCTTTAAGTAGCTGCTTATGTATCTAGCCTCTACAGTTTCTTGGGCTAATATTTCATGTTTACTACCTGCAGTTTTAAAGCAGTACTTTATTTTTAATTTTTCCTAAATACATCTCATTCAAGCTGTAAGAGAAATTATTTTAATATCTAAATCACCAGGATTTGGTGACTAATAATATAATAAAATAATAGCTACTGTTTATTGAAAGCCTAATACATGCTAGGCACTGTTTAGGAACTTTCTCTGTATTAACTCATTTAGTCCTCAAAAAACTCTAAGAAAATTATTATTATTTTCTTCATCTTATGAAAATGGAATTTGAGGTTTAGAGAAGTTGGTACTTTATTCCAGTTCACATAGTTGGTAGGCTGATTCACTGGAATATGGTGTTTGGGGTGTTATGTGTAGATGATGGATTTTTTCAAGATTACAAACTTATTGACAGCATAAAACAGACTATTTTACTTTGTCTTTCATGGGTGTAGTAAATAGCATATAGTATTATGCATAAGAGTGTGTGGAGGTATGGGCTATTTGTTGCCTTTTACTGTTAACAGAGGGACATCCAGAAAGTCCCTTAACCTCTTTGGACCTCAGGTGCCTCAAATATGAAAAATAATCCTTTAGAAGTATGAAGACAGAGGGATGGGTCATTTGGTCTCTATAGATTCTTTCTGGGTTTTAAGATGCTTCTGACAAAATGACAAGGAATAATAGTCATATCTGTCAGGATACAGAGCCAAGCCACCCTAAATCTACCTGTCTCTGACATTGGTCTTGCTACTATAGTCAACAATATAATGTAGCTGGTTGAAAAAACAGGTGCTTTATATAAATTGACCAAGTAAGCTAGAAGAAAAGGGAAATAGGTAATGAACCT